ATATGATAACCTTTTTATATATAAACATTTTTTTTGTTAAAATTTAAAAAAGTGATCTGGTCAAGTAACATAAACTGAAAAAATTGAAGTTACATAGTCTTACAAAGAATCTATATGTAAGTATTATATATCTATATTAATTTTTATCTTATAATCAAAAATTGTGAGAATTTAATAAATAATATTTAATTATATGTCATGGTAAAAAGACTCATTCATTTTTTTTGCAATTTTTATTAATCACAATAGTTAACATTATAATAAAATTAAGACAGAAAATTTGAAACATTTATCCTTTATAATTTCTTTCTTTACATTATAAAAAATATTAATAATTGAATGATGATGTTTTTTCATAGGATTAAAAAATGATCATAATTTTTTTTATTTATTAGGTCTTAAATGATAAATAATATCTATCTTGAATAATTACTCATATTTTAAGTTATGTTTTTGAAAAAGTATATTTGTTTGCAATTGAGTTTGTAATTAAAGTAAGTTCAACTATGAAATTCATTTTTAAAAAAGGAAACTGTATTTTTTTTAATAGATTCAATAAAAAAGAATCAAAATCTTTATTTTTTTTACATTATACATATAAATAAGAAATATTTAAAATACAAATTTTTAAAAAATAATTAAAAAATTAAAATAAAATAAATAAAGAAATGAAATTAAAAAAAAATAAAAGGAAATAAAAAAAATATAAAAAAATAAAAAAATAATAAAAACAATGAAATAATTAAAAAAAAAAGACTGGGGATACTAAACTGATAAAAAAATTATTCATTTCTAGCTATTCTATTAGAATTGACATTGGCTATTAAGGAATGGAATATTTAGATCAACATAAGTAGATTCAGAAAAAAAAGGAGGGTAATCACAAAAAAAAGAAACTGGTTCAGTTTGTATGAAATCGGTATCAGTACCACTATTATCATAATTTTTTGCTCTGCTTTTTGCTTTTGTTCCTCTTTTTGCTGGAACATACTTGTAATCTTTGCCATATACTTCAATATGTTTTTGCTTTGCTAACCTAGAAAGAGCATAAAAGAGGGCTTTCACTTCTTCTGTTTCTTTCTTCCACCTGATGGCAATTTCTTTTGAACGTTTTGCTTCTTTTATTTTATTATCAGCAGATTCAGCCTTCAACCTCGCGCTCATGTCTCTACGATATAAAATAAATGGGTTTTGAGGTCGTGGGGCTTTATTGCTGCCTGTTCTTTTTTTAGAATTATTGATGAGCATATTTCGGTCAATGGTAAACGGATAATTTGAATTGTAAACAATTTGATAATCATTCAATTCATTGTTAAGTGAAATAGGGTTATTAGGATTCAGTTCATTATTTGAGAGGATGTTTTCATTGATTTTAAAGACAAAGAAACCTTGTTGTTGGTTGTTGTTTGATCCGGTCATTTTTTTTTAGAATGTAGAATTTGATTTATAAAAAATTTGAAAGTTTAAAGTTGAAATTTTGATGAACTCATGGGAAAATGGGATACATTTTATAGTAATTTTGTATTGTCTTTTTTTTTTTGTACACGAAGTAAAAAAAGCTTTTTGGGCGATTTGCGTAATAATATAAGTATGATAACAATATGTCATGCAATTTCCTATTTTATTTAAACTTTTTTATCGTATGGTCAAAATCGATGTTATCACAGTAACATTTCGTGATAATTGGTCACTAATTTGGACCTAATGGATCATGTTACGTAAACGTCTGCGCCACGTTGTTTAAATTGTTCGATTCAAATTTTATTTAATTGTTATTTTTAGCGATAAATTCTACACGATAAAAATAAAAGAAAGATAAAAAAAAAAATAATAGATGTGTCATAAGCCGTTCTTTTTTTTCTTTTTTTTTTAAAAAAATAATAAATTTAATAAAGTTTAAGGACCAAGACAAAGGATTTTTTCTTTTGTTATTGCATTTATAAATTTGGCATGATAAAAGATAGATTAAAATATAAAGTTCATACAAAATTATTCTTCACATGACAGATTTGAACAATAAAAGTTGAAATAATATGAACATATTATCCAGATTAATTACGTGAATACAAGCTAAAATCTAACGGATTACTTAACCTTCCTTCACGATAAACAAACTTATCAATTAAGTAAAGATAATTAGTCGCAAATATCCAAAGATTTTGACTTTGAGCCGACTTATCGATACCTTCCATATAGGTACCTTATTGTGATGAATTATTTTGGTAATTATCATCCCGTATGAATTTTTCGTCGTTTCCCTTTTTAATTGAAATATCTACTAAGTAATTTTAACCAGTCCTGTTTCATTTAAGGATTGTACAGTTATATTCAATAAGATAAATGGAACTTTGATAGTTATTTGAGTCTAGCACAAAAGATAACGGGAAATTCCAAATAGATGTATTCTCATATTTATGAATCAGTTAAATGATTCTGAACAATACATATGCAATTAATACATTCATTTTTTGGCTAGAATGGTCTTTTTAAATTGACCAGTTGACTTTTGTCCCATTTGATTTAACAACATAATAGTGACCTAAAAGGCCACATCACCAATTTATTGAACTTTAAAAATACTGGCGAAGTGATGAAATGTGAAATAAACAATGTGATAATGTCGATAATGTGGAAACGTGAATTGGTGATAACTCATCCAATTAACTTATAAGCATGTGACCGCTTATATATAATTTGTTCTTTCCATATTTAGTCATAATGGAAGACGTTTGAAGTTAGCAGTAAAATTGAAACATTCAAATGAATGCATTAATTTGGTATTATATTTATTATATATAAAGATTCGAAATTACTTAATTTTTTAGACGATTTTTGAAATTTGCAGATCATCTTATGAACTATAAGTATTATTACGTTGCATTATATTGAATATCTTTTTATTTCGCAAGTTCTCGATTATCTGTTGGACCAAATGGAAAGATTTTTCAAATTTAATTTTTGTATTTCAATAATAGTCGTTACATCTATCAACTTCAACAACGCTTATTGATACATCATTAGCAACAGTAACGAATTAAATATTGGTTTGAATTATTGCAAAGTCAGGTGGACAGACAGGTACTTAATTATCAAGATTCATTTATGTTCTTGAAGTTGTACCTGAAATTGTACTAATATGATATTTATTATTCATATGGAAGAAGCTATCCCTGAAATTGTAATGTTATAAACCTTTGGTAAATTTGAACGGGTTGCATCTGTGTCGAGAACGTTTTAGTGAATAAGGATATTTAAGCTGTGATTTTTTTTCTACGCAAGGTGTTCATATGGTTCGACTTTTTTTTTTAAAAAATTTCAAAATAACAAATTTATTTTAAAATTAGAAGAGGGGATAACAGCGTTTATGCAATAATTATTTATACTGTTATGCAAGTTTCAGATAATTTAACGATATTAATTTCCAAAGAATTATTCGCGGATGTACAATCTGGTACGTGAGGTTCCAGTGCTCTGTCATGGAATATTACTATTTATTTGGACTTGGAGAACAATTTTTGGTTAATGAAGTTGCTACTTGTTCTTTATGCATCAATTGCGAACGATTTAGCAAAGTATAACGAAACTGATAATCAAAAGGTAACGTTTAGTATTATTATTAATCTTGTATTTTATTATGATAAAAAAAAAAAAAAAAAAAATTATTGATTTCTTTCAAGGTATTAAATTTTTTTTACTATTTCGGTTTATTTCTCAGTGGCCAAATTATGAACATCAATATATACTATTATTTAATCTATAAAGTTGAGTTTATTAAGATTTTGTTAATAATGATTATTAATATTAGATTTTGAATTATCGTCTCTATTACATATATTTGAATTTGAATAAAAACTTTATCTTAAAATTATTACAACTAGTTAGATCATATATTCCAGTATATGATACTGCCAAAGTTGCTTACTCTCTTCCCTCATTGTACCATTTACTGAACCCAAATTCAAAATCATCTCGAAAAATACTTTACTTTGTTACTGACGCGTAGCTTGATAACAGGTCGGCAAAATGTAACTTCCCATAAACATCGAAATGTTCTCCAAAATGTATGAATAATGGCATCATCCAAACAAGAAAATCATCATCAATCCAAAATATCGATCATTTTGTAGTTCGAAATAAATTGTGGAACACTATTGTTACAAGATCAGAATTGTTGATTCAAAAAGATCCTAATCATTGCATCACGTGTTGTCATTAAACACCTATTCGTGTATTTCATTTTCCCATTCATTCAAGAGGAATTATGCGCTTGCGTAATCAATACTTTATTCATATCATCAGCATCAGCTTCATTATTCATTGCTTCAAATTAGGAGATATACAGTTAATATCAAATTATCTTTTTCTCTATTGCAACTTCTTGCTTCCAAAAATACATCGTGACCATTAATACTTATCGTAGGTATAACAATCAATTCAACAAACAATTAATTCACTCCAAGCTTACAATCATCTTTTGATTAAAATGTCTTTTTAAATGACAACACACGAACTTTCATCAAAATCTCCTAGAAATATTTTAAATATTATTAGGAATTTTTAAATTTACATTAACAGCGATTATTAAATAACATTACCATCATTTCATATATCAGAACTTCAACTTAGTTAAATTAACAAAAGAACTTCAGACGGTAGCGATTTGCACGCAGGTCCCTAAAATACAAATAATTAATAGGATTACATATTATAATAATCGCCTCTCGGAAATTAAAATACAAGGAATAATTACCAGATATATTACCGGAATTGTCCTAATCAATAAGATTAATTTGACTTAAAAAAATATAATTATATGAAAATGATTACTTATATTATTATACCTCTTTAACTTATTCCTATATGCTTTTCCCATTACTATATAAAATGCTGGAATGAACTGATATCTTTCGGCTTAATAAGGTCAAAAAGACGGGAAGATTTACAGGCGTTTATAGCGGGCGCATGTCCATGGTAGGCAGTTCATTCAAAAGAATGAACTTGGCGCAACCTAAATCGTTTCTTTTAAGGTATTCTATACAACTTCAATAAATCAACTACGATGTTGTTCAATGCAGGACTGGCAGTTGAAATCGCAACATCGTATTTATCAATGACACCAAGGTTACCCAACGATCCTAATTAAAAAATTAAAATAAATAAGATTTTCAGCAAAACAAATTTTAGAACGCTCCGCTCCGACGAACTTATATATAATCTTTTATATGACCATTATCTTTAAGCTTTATCATGCTACTAAGAACTTGTCCTCTAGACTGAGAAGAATTTAAAAGCTTTTTCGCCTCAGCTTCTCTTTGTCGAGATCGGCAAGACTAGACTTGAAAAGTTCTTGCTAAAATTAATAAAAGATATTTATGAGAATCTAAAATACATAATATATAAATTTAAAGATTAAATGATAACCTTTAAATCGGTGTCCAATTGTTGAATTACTAGTTGATTTGATTCTTTTAGATGAGATTTCTTGTTTCTAAAGAAGAAGTTCAATTATAATTAAATCATCACAAAAAAAGCAATTGATGCCTTATAATACCTTTTTCCGACATGATTCTAAGAGTGACAGCATCATCTTCTGCTTGTTTAAGATCTTGTTTTATTGAATCAACTTCTCTTTTAAAATGTTATACCCAGAATGGTTGACATCAATAAGTGATTGCCTTGCATTGATTTGCTCTAACCAAGGTGCACGTCTCTTCAATTTGGTTTGAATAAACTTCTGATTTGCCTTTATTTAAAATTAAAATCAGTTACAATATAAAAAAATATTTACACAATTAGATTAAATTAATCGATTCGCATACCCTTTAAACTTCCCTGATTTTTCAAGTTCACTTTCTTGGGTCTCTAAAGATATTTCCAAGTCCATCATTTTTTCCATTCGATCATTCAAATCCTGTTCATAAAATGGTAATTTTGTTTTCGCTTCCGAAAGTCATGACGATCCTATAATAAAAGCTTATTGTATTTCTCAAATATATTTGTGTATCAAAATAACATGACCAAATAAAACCTACTGTAGAAATTACCATTGTCACTTTCTTCTATTTAGAAATTGCGTCTTCCAGGTTAATATTTTCTTTCTCTTAATTCGCCAATTTTGCTACTTTGAAAAAGAAACAAATGAAATTCTAGTAATTATCTTCAAAATCTTTGTTATTTTGTTTTATCTGAACATGCTTTTTCTTAGTTGATCTTTTAATTTATTCTAATAATTAATTGCCATATTAAATTAACTTGTCTGAATAAGTTATTAAATCTAATGACTTACACAGCCTTAGTAGATATTTCAGTAACTCTGCAATTTTTTTGATAAAAGACGGACTGCTTCAGAGTTAACGTGTTTTCATCTCGAAGAAAATCTTCTGCTACTTCTTTCAATTCAATAAGGTTCGATTCATTATTGTTATTAATGATTACAAACGCGATTTATTAATAATATGTTACCTCTAAATTTGTTAACTATTTTAACGCGATTTAATTTTTCTAATCGTTCTTCATCCAATGTTTCAACCGTTTCATTTGCTTCTTCAAGAGGACATTATATTAGAAGTTCCGATAACGTCTTCAATATATTCTTGTGTCCATCATGCTCATTTGGTACTTTGGGTTTCATTTGCGATAAAAATTCAACTTCTCCCTAAACATAAATTTAAGCATAAATTTGATGATGTCAATACATTAATATTACCTCATGATGAAAAACATAAAATAAATGAATAAATAAAAAAGGAACCTGCAAAATTAGAAATCGTTTATGATCCAAATCGATCCCCCTTTCTTTAAAAGACTTGTAATTTCAGGGTAATTGAATTGCTTTGTCGCCCATTTATGAATTGCTTGTATTATTGCGAAAAGCTTGACGCGAGATAACCAATTGAGATTGAGGTAAAATCTCATAATTATCCGAACCAGGCTATAATATTATTAAACATCATGGGTTATTATTATTTTAAGTTGAATATTTTTTATTTTTTGAAATTAAAACTTTATTATTTACCAAATCAAGAATTTCTTCAAAATATACATCAATTCTGCAAGCATCCAGATTTTCACTTTTCTATTATGATTGATTTGCTCGATAACCAAATACAAATAAAAGGTGCATCGATAACATTTGATTTTCCCGAACCATTTGATCAGAAAATGACTTTTGAATTCAATTTTAATGATTAGAGAGAATCTCGTGATGTAGAAAGCTCCAAGAAAACAAATATACCGTATCTTATACCTTATGAAACGGACTATTTCCTGTTTACCAAAATATGACTTAAAATTAATTGTCATTTTACTGATATAAAACGCTTTTTAGTTCAAGAACAGAAACATTGTCAGTAGAAAACTCTAGGTGAGGATGAAGTCATTAACGGAAGTATGTAATTATAGATTTAATGGTGGATAGTTGAGATCACGTATATGTGAGCCGGCATTATGCATCCCCACAATTTACGCGACACCATTTTTTTTTAAATTGATCGTCAAACCGGTTCAGTTACAGTGAACAGAAACCAGTTTTAAAATCCGTGTAACACCAGAAAAAAAAAAAAATATAAAAAATATCAAAATGCGTCTCGTGAGATTTTACATTTGAAATTCTCATTAAAAATAAAGTACTTCCAAAATATGAAATACCAATAGCATGATGTAACGGTAAGGTTTATATTAAAAAAAAAAAAAAAATCACGTACTAAAACACGAACTTAAATTTTTTTTTTTTAGGATACAAAGTTGGTCTATTATTTATTCTCAAGAAGCCAATGTTTATCATGGGACATTGTTGGGACTTAAAGTGGGACAGTTGGGACATATATCACTGCAAGTAGCTATTGATAAAAGAAAGGTAATAACGGGTTATTAACTCTTATATTTTATCATCTTTTTTTTTTGTTACATCAATCTTATGATTATTATCTTTATTTTATTTTATTTTTTTAGTAAATGTGAGTCATTTTGCTATTAGAGTTGGAATACATTCTACTAAGATCCGAAAGATAACACACATATGGAAATAATCCTATGAACCGAAACATATATTTACGGTTCCTACAATCAACTTTCACCTCTTTGAATTTGATCCAGAAAATGGATTGACTGTAATCCATCAAAGATCACAAAGAATAAAGGTGGTTT